CCTCATTGTCCTCATTCCTTTTTTCCATGCCCTGTTGGACCAAGGACGGCCCATATTATTGGTTGCCCCTACCTGGCCCTGCGGGACCAAGGACTGTCCAGTGTCAGGTTTCATCACAGCAGAAGCGTCCTGGCCTAGCCAGTTCCTTTGTCTTGTGAGAAGCCTGTCAAGGCGTGGCTCTGGCCTCTCACAGCAGAAGTCCAGGATCCTGAAGCAGCTCACATCCCTGAGGGAGAGCAAGTTCGACGTGAGCGCCTGGTCCCAGGTTTTGGCACCAATGGATGGAAAGGTCACCACAAAACACACCAAACACCGGAGTAAGGGAAAAGGCTTATTGTCGGGTGGGGAAAACCCAACAGGCTGCCTCTCTGTGCATGGGAGAACAGCCGAATTGCTCTCTTGGGCATTATATATTGATGTTTCCTTTTACAGTTTTTTTAAAAATCTGTTTGATAAAGTACAGGTATTCCAGTTCACTTTTGGTTTCCGTTTGCATGGGATATTTTTTCCATCCTGTTGCTTTCAATCTTGGTACTCTTTATATGACTATTAAGATTCTTGAAAGCAGAATATGGTTTGGTCTTTTTTTTAAGATTTATTTTACTTATTTGAAAGGCAAAGTGACAGAGAGAGGGGTGAAACAGAGAGATCCACTGGTTTACTCCCCACATAGGCATAATGGCCTGGGCTGTGCCAGGCAGAAGTCAGGAGCCCAGAATTTCATTCAGGTCTTCCACTTGTGTAACAGGTGCCCAAGTACCTGAGCCATCATCCACTGCTTTCTCAAGTGCATTAGCTGGGTGCTGGATCATAAACAGAGCAGCAACGACTCAAACTGGCACTCCAGTATGGAATGTGGCTGTCGTGAGTGGCAGCTTAACCCACTATGCCACAACAGCAGCCCCTTTAATCCACTGAGTGAGTCTGTCTTTTAGTTGGAGAATTTAATGCACTTACATTCAAGATTAATATCAGTAAGTAAAGACAGTTCTGTCATTTTGTTGATTTTCTTCTGTTTGCTTTGAATATCCTTTGTTCTTTTCTTCCTCTGTTGTTCATCTTAATAGTTTGGTCATTTCCTGTATTGATAAATTTTGTTTTCTATCTCTCATGTATCTGCTTTTCTAGTGGTTTTTATACTGTCATGTATTTTCATGATGACACTGATATTTATTTTGTTTATGGGTGTAGGGTTAATTCTTAAGTATCTTTAGTAAGACCAGTCTAGTATAGATGAATTTCTTTAATTTTTGCTTTCTTGGAAAATCCTTGTTTCTCCCTCATTCTTAAAGGATGATTTTCCTGGGTATATGTGGTTGGCAGTTTTTTTCTTTTACAACCTAGAGATTGTCATTCCATTCTTTATTGGCCTGTAATATTACTGCTGAGAGATTTTCTGTTAATCTAATTGGGGGTTCTCTTAAATGTGATTTTGCACTTTTTCTCCTGCAGTTTTTAGAATTATCTCTTGTGAAGTACTTTTGACAATTTGACTATAATGTGTCAATTGAGGATCTTTTCTGTTCATGTCTATTTGGTGTTCTGTGAGCTTCCTGCACCTGGATTCCCATGTCACTCCAAAGATTGGAGTAATTCTTAGCTATTATTTTATTGACTAGGTTTTTCTATGCCTTTCCCCTTTTCCTACTCCTCTGGGGATTCCCAAAATTCAAATAATTGTTCATTTATTGGTATTCCAAAGGTCTCAGGTATTGTCCTAGTTCCCTTTTCTTTTTAAAAAATTTTGTATTCTGGGATATTTCCCTTGATACAGTTTGATGTTGAGGCTTTTAACCGTATTGTTTTAATTTGAGTTACTAAATTCTTCATTGGGGGGGGGGGCAATGGTCAATTCCTTCTCTGAAGCAAAGCTACCATGCGTTTTCCAGGTAGCTGCCCTTCCTGGACTCCAACCCTATTATGATGTGGATCCCTCTAGTAGTGCCATCTGTGGGGCTCTGAGGCTCTCTTATTTACCTTTTCACCTGCAATGGAGATTTCCCATCAGCCATAAGACTATGGTTGTGATTGCCAGTTTGCTTTGTTCCTCTATGCTGCCAGCCCATGTTTCTGTCTCATGCAGGAGTGCTACATCTCCCTCGCTGAGTTCTGATGTTCTGCCTTGGGCATTCACCTCAAAATACAGCTTTTTGTTTTGGCTATTCTCTATGGAAGAAGCAGGTAACACAGCACCTCTATCTGGCCATCTTGAAATCTCCAAGACAACTACAAACTTGATATCAAAACCAAAGACAAAAGGACAAATGAAAATAATAGAGGAATATTTCATATGCACATATGAATAATCTAAAATAATTATTAATAAATGGAATATAACAGTATATTTTAAAGAAAAAAATTCATGAGGCATGACTAGGTAGGATTTACCCAGAATAAAGATATGGTTTATCATTCATAAATCCATTAATACAACATATTCAATTTTTTTTTTTTTGACAGGCAGAGTGTACAGTGAGAGAGAGATACAGAGAGAAAGGTCTTCGATTGGCTGTTGGTTCACCCTCCAATGGCCGCCGTGGCCGGCGTGCTGCGGCTGGCACACTGCGCTGATCTGATGGCAGGAGCCAGGTGCTTTTCCTGGTCTCCCATGGGGTGCAGGGCCCAAGCACTTGGGCCATCCTCCACTGCACTCCCTGGCCACAGCAGAGAGCTGGCCTGGAAGAGGGGCAACCGGGACAGAATCCGGCACCCCGACTGGGACTAGAACCCAGTGTGCCGGTGCCGCAAGGTGGAGGATTAGCCTAGTGAGCCACGGTGCCGGCCAACATATTCAATTTTAAAACATCTTAGAACACCTTGTATTCATCTCAATATATGCAGGAAAGCATTCAATGAAATTTAACTGTACTTCCTGGATAACAGTAGAAAAATCCTTTTAGTAAACTGTTAATTGAAGGAAGAAATTTTTTGTAAACTTTCATTCATTCCCACAATAAAATGCTACTAACATTAGACTTAGTATTCATGTATTAGAAGCCTTCTCTTTAAAATTAGAAAAAGATGTTATTATCATGGCTTCTATGACATATCTGCCCTAGCTAGCTAGCATGGTAAGATAATGTGCAAGTATTGAAAATAAAGAAAGTTATTAGGCACATACTCATACACAGAGGAAGGTACACCAAATGTAAAATGAGGGTCCAGCAAAGCTAAATGACTTGCTTAAGGATGTATATCTAATGAATAGCAGAGCCACCCACATAATCTGGCTCCCAAATCTTAATTCAACCACTTTTGCCCTACTTTGTGATAATCCAGAAAGTAGAGAAAAAGTCTATATACTCCACTTGCAATCCACAGTGCAGTCTTCCTCGTTATAAATTTTCCCACCAGTTAAAAATTTAGTCAAATTTTTAAAATATTAATATAATTAGGCAATTTTATATTTCTCTTCTACATTTTGCTCTTCTTATGTTTAGATTGCTCTACTTTTTCAATGGATCGACAGTGCTGTAGTGAATATTTTTTAATCTTTGTATAAATATGTTGGTCTCCTTTAAGTTCTTTTTCTTTGGACACATTCACATGAGTTAGCTTAATAGATTAAAAATTGTGAACTATGATACTATTAAAGCATATTGTCAAATTCTCAAAGCAATTTTCAGTGGCCCTGGTATATGACAAATGAAAGTAAGTAGTTTATAAATATATGATTAACTCATAAATTAAAGCCTTCTTTAAATGATGCTGATACTTGTAATGTTTTCCTAAACACGAATATGGTGTATCAAATAGCTTTTTAAATAATAGGCTTTGCATTGCAAAATAAGTTGCTGATAATTAGTTTTACTTATATTTTAATTACATTAATTAATATACATATTGCTATTATTATTGAGGCTGAAATTTTAGAACTTAATCATGTAATTCTAATTTGTATTGTTAAAATTTTATACTAAAAAGCTGAGAAAAATTTGAATTAATCATGGATAAAAGGGTCTGCGCCGCAGCTCACTAGGCTAATCCTCCACCTTGCGGCGCCAGCACACCGGGTTCTAGTCCCAGTCAGGGCACCGGATTCTGTCCCGGTTGCCCCTCTTCCAGGCCAGCTCTCTGCTGTGGCCTGGGAGTGCAGTGGAGGATGGCCCAAGTCCTTGGGCCCTGCACCCCATGGGAGACCAGGAGAAGTACCTGGCTCCTGCCATCGGATCAGCGTGGTGCGCCGGCCGCAGCGTGCCGGCCGTGGCGGCCATTGGAGGGTGAACCAATGGCAAAGGAAGACCTTTCTCTCTGTCTCTCTCTCTCACTGTCCACTCTGCCTGTCAAAAAAAAAAAAAAAAAAAAGGATAAAAGGCAAAACTGTAAAAATAATTTCCTTTAATGTTTTAAAAGAAATTTCAAATGTTTATATTGTGAAATATTTTGCTACATTTCATTTTTTCTGAGATTTAAGAAAATCAAGAATCTTCAAGTTTCACTGTATATAATCTCAAGAGGTACTATGTCTAATGTGTAAGATCATAGAATTTAGAAACAAGTTCCTTCATTTAAATATCAACTTTTTGTTGTACTACCTCTGGGACCTCATAAAAATGTATTTTTTAGCTTCTTTTTTTCTTTGTGGAAACAAGCATAATAAGCTGTTGGGAAGACTATGAGCTGTGCACATAAAGTACTTAGCATAATAATTGGTGCATAGTCAGCATTTAATAAAGCTTAACTTTGTAACTACATCTACCAGGTTTATAATAACAGAATTACAGCTAACTGCTGTTCTCTTCCGCTCCATTTTACTTTTCTTGTTTTGTTTTGTTTTGTTTTGTTTTTGCTCAGATTGATTAATATTTCTATTTTGCTCCTTTCTTTCTATGTGGGTAGAAACATAACTTGTCCAACATACTCATGTATAGTCTTTGTAGGACAGAGAGGGAATTGGCAAAAACTTCATCAAAGGGGTATTTCTCTGATTTTGGTTTGAAATTTCTTTTCTTATACTCTTGAATCTTTAATCTTTTATTTTACTCTTTCTTATTTTCCAGATTAAATGCATTAATGGAAAAAAATTAGATGGTAAGATAATTGAATATCTTAGCAGTACAATGGATTCTTCAGTGGAGAACAACATATATGTAAACAAAATATGGGTTCAGTGTGAAAATGAAAGTTGTTTGAAGTGGAGACTGTTGTCAAGTGAGGATGCAGCCAAAGTTGATCACAATGAACCTTGGTATTGCTTCATGAACGCTGATACGAGGTATAACAAGTGCTCTATTTCTGAAGAAGATTTTCCTGAAGTGTCTCAGCTTCATCAAAGTGGATTTAAGATAGTCTATTCACAGCTCCCTCTTGGAAGCCTTGTTTTGGTAAAATTAAAGAACTGGCCAAGGTAAGGTTTGTGTTGTTTTATAATAAACTGTTGGGGGTGTAGTCATGCTTTGTTTCTGAATTTTTAAAATCTTTTTCAAGAATCTTTTCAAGAATCAATGATTTGTCTGTTATTTATTTACTTTCCTATGTATTTATTTCTGATCTCCTATGCATTTATTTGACCCCTACTTCTTTAAGTTTAATTCATTCTTTTTGCAGTTTCTTAAATTGGGAACTTGGCTACCTGAATTCAAACCTTTTTTTTCCCCTTCCATAAATAGGCAGTTGCAATCATAAATTTATGAGTAGTGCTTTAGCCAGATATCACAAATTTTGATATTACACATTCCATTATTCAATTTGAAATACTTTCTAGTTTTCTTTGTGAATTCTTCCTTGAAATGGGTTATTTAGAAGTGGATTTTTAGGGGCCATTGCTGTGGTGCAGCAGGTTAAAGCCCTGGCCTGAAGTACCAGCATCCCATAAGGGCACCGGTTCTAGTCCCGGCTGTTCCTCTTCTTTTCCAGCTCTCTGCTATGGCCTGGGATAGCAGTGGAGGATGGTCCAAGTCCTCGGGACCCTGCACTCACGTGGGAGACCTGGAGGAAGCTCCTGGCTCCTGGCCTCAGATCAGTGTAGCTCCGGCCATTGCAGCCATTTTTAGATATTGTTTTATTACTTTGCTTTTAAAATCTTTAATCACTTACTTAGCTTTTCTAGTTCTAATTTATACATTTTCATTACCCACATTATTAATTTCCATTAACTTGACTTGAAATCTCAGGTGCAATTTTGATCTCTTTTAAGACCATGACTCTAGTAATCTGTCAATTTTTTTGTAGGGATGTTACTCATTTTTTGCTATAATAACTTTGTATTAGATTCTAGTATGATCCTTTCTTATTGCATACTTTTACATGAAATGAGTCCCAGATGTTTGAGAAAGGAAAAGGAAATTAGAATAAGTTTTTTTTTTTTTTTTTAGTCCATTTCCCCTCTGTTGCTTATATTTGATCATTCCTCTTTTTCTATCTTTAAGTTTACTCTCATATCCATTTAAATCTGTTTAGGAAGTTGTTTTTGCTGCTGCACCAGAGGGATATGGAGAACACTTCTTTGGTACTGCTGGGTTGGAGTGGAAGTATAGGATCCTCACCTAGCTTCCACTGATTAAGGGAAAGGTAATCTTCATTACCACTGGGTAGGGGTGAGGGCTTAGATGCCCTCAATACTGACTGGATGGGTAGGGTGTCTTATTACTCATTCCAGGTAACCTCCACTGATACTGTAGAGGGAGGATCTTGTTAGCATTGATAAGTGGCAAAAATCCAAGCTTTCCCATAGTCCCCTGTGCCACCAAATGAGAAGGTAGAGAGAGAGTGCTACATTACTACTGGGTAGTTTGAATTCTGCTTAACACTGACCGTTGCTGATGGGGATAGGTGTGGAGACCATAGTTTGTGTGTGTGTATGATATTTGCCTAGAATAGAGCAATTGTTTTCTAAAAGATATCTGTCTTGCTAGACTGCCCTCTAACTTGGTTCTTAGGATAAACAGAGTTTGTTTGTACCCATTAGTGTTTCTTGCCTGCTAACTTCATTTGCACCAAGTCTAGGAATATATGAGGCAAAATAAAGCCCAGAGAATTCAATGTCAAGTCATTCTTCATGCCTCAAGGGCCCAGCTGGCCTATTTTCTTCTCTTTATCTTTCTGAGTTTTCTTGTGTTTATTTTATATGTAATATCTAGGATTATTAGGTATACCTAGGGGGAAGAATATAGAAAAATTATTCTATTTTGTCTAGAACCAGGAGTTTCAGAAAATATTTTTAAAAGCTTTTTTCCCTAATACATAACCCTAGAGGTCTTTTTATATTTTTTCTAAGTATCAAACATATGAGCTTGTTTTCTGAAATTTCGTAGATATTTTCTCCCCTCACTTTTATTGTGAATTTTTATTTGTTTAATTTTTAAACTTGATCGACTTTATTTTTTTAGCCATCTTTGGATTCAAAAGAAAGTACAGAATTTCCATAGATCCTCTCCAGCACACACACACACACACACACAGTAACTTTGCTCACCATCAATATCCTGTACCAGGGCAGGCACCGCGGCTCACTAGGCTAATCCTCCGCCTGTGGCGCCTGCACACCGGGTTCTAGTCCCAGTCGGGGCGCCAGATTCTGTCCCAGTTGCCCCTCTTCCAGGCCAGCTCTCTGCTGTGGCCAGGGAGTGCAGTGGAGGATGGCCCAAGTCCTTGGGCCCTGCACCCCATGGGAGACCAGGAGAAGCTCCTGGCTCCTGGCTTCTGATCAGTGCGGTGCGCCCTCCGCAGCACGCGCTGCAGCGGCCATTGGGGGGTGAACCAACAGCAAAGGAAGACCTTTTTCTCTGTCTCTCTCTCTCACTGTCCACTCTGCCTGTCAAAAAAAATATATCCTGTGCCAGTATGGTATATTTGTTATGATCTGTGAACTACAATTACACATCACTATCAACCAAGTCCATAGTTTACATTTGGGTTCACTCTTTGTTTTATACATTTTCTGTTTTTTTCTTTCTGTTAAAGATTTTTCAACTGATATTTAAAAGTGTACATATTTATGGAGTATAATGTAATGTTTTGATATATACATGGATTGCATAATGTTTAAATCAGGATAAACATAGTAATCCCCTCAAGTATTTATAAGCATTTATTGTGAAAACTTTCAGAATTTTTCTTTTAATTTAAAGAAAAAATATGTAGGGAGAATACATTATCTATAGTCACTCTACTCTGCATTAAAACCCCAGAACTTCTTTCTCCTATAGGACTATAACTAGTTCCTGCTAATCAATCTTTCTCTATTCCCCTCTATACCTGCTCTCCCCAACCTTGTAACCAGAGGCTACTCCCAATTGTATAAGGTCAACTCTTTTAGATTCCACATGTGAAATCATATAGGACTTGTCTTTCTGCACCTGACTTATTTCACTTAACATAATTACCTCCAGTTCCATCCATTTTGTTAAAAGTGACAGGATTTCAGCTTTTTAATGAATGAACTATATTTCATCTTGTATATGTACCATATATTCTTTATCCATTCATCAATTGATGGATAGTTAGTTTGTTTCTATTTCTTGGCCATTATGAATAAAAAATGAGCTATTTCACTGATGTATTTTATTTTTTTAATCCATACTTCTTTCATCCCTCCTAGCCTCTGGTATATACATAAATAAACATGGAGTGCAGATTTCTCTATGACAAAGGTTTCATTTGCCTTGTATGTATGTATGTGTGTATATATATATATATACACACTCATTAATGAAATTGTTAGATCTTAAAGTAATCATAATTCTTTGAGGAATCTTCAAATTGTTTTCTAGTAATTTAAAATTTCTACCGACAATGTGCAAGTGTTGCCTTTTTTACACATCCTCATCAATACTAGTTATCTTTTGTCTTTTCAATAATAACCATTCAAACTGGAGTGAGGTAATATTTCATTGTGGATTTAATTTGAATTTTCCTAATTATTTGCAGTGTTGAACATATTTTCATGTGCATGCTGACCATCTATATGTCTTTCCTTGAAAAAATGTTGATTTAGATCTATTGCCCATTTTAAATTGCATTTTTATCTATTTTATCAATTCTATTGAATTATTGAGATTCTTATATAGTCTGGTTATTAACCCCTTGTTAGATGTATTATTAGCAAATATTTTCTCTTATTCTGTAGGTTGTCTCTTCATTCTCTTATTGTTTCCTTTGCTGTGTAGAAGCTATTTACTATGATGAAATTTCATTTGTCTATTTTTACTTTTGTTGCCTCTGCTTTTTAATAAAATCCTTGCCTATTCTAATTTCCTGAAATATTGCCCCCATGTTTATTTTAGTAGTTTCATAGTTTCGGATACTAGTTAAGTAATTAATACACTTTGAGTGGATTGCTGTAAATGGCAGAAATAGGGGTTCAGTCTCTTTAGTATCTCTATATTTAGCCTCCTATTCCAATTTCCAAGTAACATTTATTGAAAAGACTGTCTTTCTCCAGTGCAGTTTTTGGCACCTGATATAGATATATTTATGTCTAGGCTGTCTAGTTCTCTTCCCTTGGACTATGTATATGCTTTTGTGCAAGTATCATGCTGGATTTGATTACAATAATTTTGTTGTATATTTGGAAGTCAGGTCATTTAATTGCTCCTCCTTTGATTTTCTCACTCAAGGTTACTTTGGATATTTCAGTTTTGTTTTTCAGTTCTGTGTGAATTTTAGGATTTTTTTTATAGTTCTATGAACAATATCATTGGTAATTTTATTAGGTATTTCACTGATGTATTTTATTTTTTCAATCCATACTTCTTTCATCCCTCCCTCCCTGCCTCTGGTATTTATCAGTCTGTGTTTAGATTTCTTTTTAGCTCCTGCATACTAGAGAAAATGTGGTATTTATCTTTCTTTTTCTGCTTATTTCACTCAGCCTGATGTCCTCCAGTTCCATCTATTTTTCTGCAGTTGATTGGATTTCATTCTTTTTTATAGGTGAATATTTCATTGTGTGTGTGTGTATATATATATATATATATATATATATATATATATATATATGCTGCATTTGCTTTATCCACTCACCTGATGATAGCTACCTTCGTTGATCCTGTATCTTGGCTACTGAGAACAGTGTTGTGATAATATGGCAGAGCAGGTATCTCTTTAATACAAATTCATGTCTTTTGAATATATACCCAGTAGTGGAATAGATGGATCACATGGAAATTCTTTTTCTAGTTTTATAAGAAATTGTGTATTGTTTTCCACAGTGGTTTTACTAATTACATTCCCATCAACAGTGTGTAACAATTACCCTTTGTACACATCCTTGTCAGCATTTGTTAATTTTGTCTGTGTGATAATAAGCATTCTGACAGGGGTGATATTATCTCATTGGTTTTGATACATATTTCTCTATTGGCTAGCATTTTTTTCATATATTTGTTGGTCATTTGCATTTATCCTTTGAAGAACAGTCTATTCAGGTCCCTTACTCATTTCTTAACTGGAATGATTGATGTTTTGGTTATTGAGTTTTTTAAACTCCTGATATATTCTACATATTAATCCTTTGTCAGATAAGTAGTTTGTAAATATTTTCTCCCTTTAGTCAAATGTCTCTTCACTCTATTGACTGTTTCCTTTGATGTGTAGAAGCTTTAGTTTGATATGATCCTATTTGTCTCATTTTGCTGCTTGTGCTTTTGGGATCTTATCTGAAAAATCAATGCCTACACAAATGACTCTAAGTATTTCTCCTCAATTTTCTTCCACAGTTGCATGTGTTATTTAGTTCTTTGATCCACCTTGAACTGATTTTTCTTTATGATGACAGATATCTTATCTAATTTTATTCTTCCATATGTATACATCCAGGTTTGCCAGCCCTGCGTTTTGAAAAGACTATTCTTTCTCCAATTAATGTTCTTGGCACTTTAGTAAAAAATTCAGAAAATTGTATGTTTGCAGATTAAGCTCTGAGCTCTCTGTGCTATTACATTTATCTATGTGTTGGTTTTTATACAAGTACCATGCTTTTTAAATCACTTTATGTTGAGGAGGGGTTGCAAGCAAAGGACAGATAGGACACGGGAACTCTTCCTCTGAAAAGCACCACCAGACAATCCCAGTATATTTCTTTATTGACCGTGATTACAGCAGCCATTCATACAACACATTTGCATGTTCATATAACTCTAAGATTTCTTTGAAACATGTTTAGCAAGACATTAGATAAGCATGTCTGGGAGCAGCTGCATGTCCTTGTGGGAGCCAATATTACCATAAGGGCTCAGTGCTCTTCTGTTAGTAGGTCATGTACTGTGCTTAATCAGTTTCTGCAGTCATACCCTGTATCCAGGAGGATGTGTTCTCACTGAGGGTGCTCTGGAAGAAACCTTGTTCCCCATATTCTGTGGCTGCGCCCCAGGCTGGAAGGATGTATCCTCACTGAGGGTGCTTTGGCAGAAGCTATGTTCTCTACAACTATATCGTTAGATTTTTAGTATGCTTTGAAGTCAGGTATTGTGATACCACCAGCTTGATTTCTGACCCCCCCACCCAAAGATTGCTTTGGCTACATTGGGTCTTTTGTGGTTCCATATGACAATGATTTTTTTTTCTAATTCTGTAAATAATGTAACTGCTATTTTGATAGAGATTGTATTGAAATAAAAAGAGATTGTACTGAATCTGTAGATTGATTTAAGTAATTAGAACATTTTACTGATATTTAGTTTTTCAATCTTTAAGCAAGAATCTTTCCTTTTTGTGTGTGTGTTTTTGAGATTTCTTTCATATGTATTTTAATTTTTTTCATTGTAGAAATCTTTCACTTCTTTGGTTAAACTTATTATTAAATATTTAATGTTTCTGATATCTAGTGTGAATGAAATTTCTCATTTGAATTCTCTATAAGCAATGTTATTATTGGTGTATAAAACTCCTACTTTTTTTTTAAAGATTTATTTAATTTATTTGAAAGAGTTACAGAGAGAGGTATAGACAGAGAGGTCTTCCATCCAATGGTTCACTTCCCAGATGGCCGCAACAGCTGGAGCTGCGCCAATCCGAAGCCAGGAGCCAGGAGCTTCCTCTGGGTCTCCCAAGTGGGTGCTGGGACCCAAGGACTTGGACCATCTTCTATTGCTTTTCCAGGCCTTAACAGAGAGCTGGATAAAAGAGGAGCAGCCAGGACTAAAACCAGTGCCCAAATGGGATGCCGGTGCAGGTGGAGGATTAACCTATCACGCCACAGTGCTGGCCCCAGGAAATACTACTTTTAGGAGACCATGCCAGTGTGTTAACATTTTGGTTAGAGTTAATTCAACTCTACCATGAATCTAGTGAATCATTTTTTCTTTTATCTTTCCTAGCAATGTAACCAAATGACCCTGAAGCATTCTTTTATTTTATATTTTTTTCATTTCTATCTGTATCTTAAATTTTGTGACTATTTCAAATTTTCTATAACTATAAAGATAAAACTTAATTACTTGTGTCAAATGAATATCCTACTGTTAGAAGATATAAGTAGGAATATATTCATGCTTTGTGAAAAAAGTCATTAAAATTCAAAGGAAGAAATTTAATATATGAGTGTGACAGATGTGTCTGCCTTTAGAAGTGTTGATCTCTGCTGTTAGAAAGCATCATAATAATTAAAAAAAATTTTTCCTTTTGAAAGTTGGCCAGGGATACTTTGCCCTGATCCTCTTAAAGGGAAATATGTAACTTACGACTTGGATGGAAATGTTGAACAATATCACATAGAATTCCTCGGTGATCCTCATTCAAGATCATGGATAAATGCAACATTTGTTGGACATTGTAGTATCACTCTAAAGGTAGGTTCAGTAATATCAAACTTTATTATTCTTGCACTTGTTTGTAATTATATTCGTATTCATCTCAGCTCTCAAAAAGTATATTATTACTTATTATTAGAAAAACATTAGCAAAACAATGTATATGATTTGCCTTAATTCAAATATTTGTATTTTAAAGTGCCTTTTTCAAAAAAAATATAAATACAGAAATGCTGTAGGAGTGTTAAATTTTATTTTTCTAATGGCAATATAGTAAAAATCAGTTGAAGGTTTTACCTAATTGCTCTTTGAAACAATTTTAAGATTATCAGTTGGTAAGTTTTTAATTCACTTTAAGTTGTACCCCTAGCTCACAGGGAAAAGTAATTATGGAATGCAAACATCTTTTGAAATTTCAAATGGAATATTTCACTATACTAACTACTTCAGTATCTTTTTTAAAACTCATTCTAAACTTTAAATCCCACAGTACAATTAGTGAATAGATTGGATTCTCAGATTGATGAGAATAAGTTAACTGAACTAGATTCATTTCCAAAGGTTTGATTTAATAAGTGTAAATCAATTCAGTTATCTGCATATTTATTATAATATCGAAACTTTTCATTTTGAACCATATTGTTTTTAAAACCTGAATTAAAAAAAGTAGGTGTCAGAAATGTGGATACCTGGCTTGCACCACGGCTCAATAGGCTAATCTTGCACCTGCGGAGCCAGCACACTGGGTTCTAGTCCCTGTCGGGGCACTGAATTCTGTCCCGGTTGCTCCTCTTCCAGTCCAGCTCTCTGCTGTGGCCCGGGAGGGCAGTGGAGGATGGCCCAAGTGCTTGGGCCCTGCACCCACATGGGAGACCAGGAGGAAGCACCTGGCTCCTGGCTTCGGATCAGCACAGTGTGCTGGCAGCAGCGCCGGCCGCAGTGGCCACTGTGGGGTGAACCAACGGAAAAGGAAGACCTTTCTCTCTGTCTCTCTCTCTCTCACAGTCCACTCTGCATGTAAAAAAAAAAATGTGGATACTTGAAATATGCATTTATCCTAGTGGTTGGGAAACCCTCTCCCACATCAGAGTTTGAGTCCTGGGGACCTGGGCCTGGACTGCGGGGGGAGAAGGGGGAGTGACAGGGTGGCGCAGGCGTCAGGGTGACAGGTGGGGCAGGCGGGGTGGGCTTTGCAGGGCAGCGCGCATTACTGGGGGCTGGGAGGAAGCTGGCCCCGGGCTCCTTGCCTGTGGCGGGCTGGAGCGGTGGTCTAGCTGCCCACCCCCCAGCTGAGGGCTCTTACTGCCTGATCCGAACTCCTGGCCCGCCCCTACTCTGAACCCCGCTGTTGCCGGCCCTCACTGGACCCCCCAGCCCTGGGCTCCGCCTTGTGTGGGGGGCCAGGTGAGGACCTGTTGATTCCCAGTGCTGCAGGGTGCCCGTGCCCCTTCCTTGCCCACAGCCATTACTCTGAGGTTTCCACATCGAGGAGCATCCGTACCAAGGCAATGTAACTTGATTTTTGGTCAATTTGTTTTAAGCGCTTTGTCACCAATAAAATATTAATAAACACACACACACACAAAATGTGACTCATCTTCACATTAATTCATACCCTGGGAGGCACTGGCAGTGGCTCAGGTAATTGAGTTCCTGAAGCCCAGGTCAGATACATGGATTGAAATGCCCAGCTGTTGTGGCATTTCAGGAGTGAGCCAGCAGATTGTAGCTCTCACTACAATCTGTGTCTGTCTCACTTTCTATCTCTCTGTCTTTGTTGCTCTGTCTCTCTGCCTCTCAAATAATAAATAACTATTTTTTACACGTGCGGATAAGTGTTGACTCAATTTAAATGGTTTCTCTTACATAGTGAGTAGTACACATATTCAGTTATGCATATAAATGTGTGCCTATTTAAAACATACAATCTAATCCATAATAAAATTAATCTTTGGAAATTTGAAGTAATTGGATTTTTATTTTATCTTTGGCATAAATAGTATTTTTTAAAAAAATTTATGTTTTATTAATTTACTTGAAAGGCAGTTACAGAGAAGGGCAAGAAAGAATCTTCCATCTTTTGGTTCTTTCCCCAAATGGCCGCCATGGCCAAGGCTGCGCCAAGCTGAAGAAAGGAGCCAGTAACTCCATCCAGATCTCCCACAAGAGTGCAGGGGCTAAGGTACTTGTGCAGTTCTCTACTGCTTTCCCAGGTGCATTAGCAGGGAGCTAGGTTGGAAGTGGAGCAGCCAGGACTCAAATCATTGCCCATATGGGATGCAGGCATCAAACGTAGCAGCCTACTCCTCTGTGGTACAACACTGGCCCCTACATGGTATTTTTGTACTATTCAGTTTAGAAGTGGCTGGAAGGAAAGTTATTTTTAGTAAAAAAATATTTCAGTATGAAATAATACCACAGCATATATTTCATGATAGCTGTTAACCAATCATCTTTATGTCAGACATATTCTCTGCTCTGCTATTTTATGTGTGTTCTAGACTCTTCTGCTGGCAACCACAAAATCCAAGAAGGAGTGTTTCTTCTGCCCCCTTCCTTTCTGAAGTGCAGAGGAAACTTCTAGCTGTTCATGAAACTGACCTTAGGATTTTAGATATTTAACAATGTGGTAAAGAGAAAGGCATTCGTAAGAAAGCATATTTAAGTACAGTACCAAAATCAAAGTGCATTTTATATTGATACAGATTTATTTATTTATTGCAAAGATAAAGTGACTGAGGGAGGAGAGAGAGAGAAAGAGAGATAGTTAGTGAGACACACCTTCCACTACCCATGCCCACAACAGCCAAGACTGGGCCAGATTAAAGCCGGGAGCCAAGAACTCCATTCAGGTCTTCTGCATGGATAGCAGAAAATCAAATACTTGGGCCGATCATCCACTACTTAGCTGCATCCACTACATTAGCTGAAGCTGGATCAGAAATAGAGTAGCTGGGAGATGTACTGGCATGCCACTGTGAGATGCATATAACACACTGTGTCACAATACCAACCCCATCAAAGAGCATTTTAAATTGCCTAAATTAGTATTACTCTCAGGATTTGAGTGAACTCAAGATTAATTTGTGTAGTCTGATTCCAGTAAGTGTATCATTAATCCTTCAGATACAGAAAAAGTCTGATGCAGAAGAAAGCCAAACTTTTTACCTATTGAGGCATTTGTACAAGCTTAGAAATCCTTGCACAAAGACCAGGGATTCAGGGCTGCTTGAGCAGATCCATATTGTAAGGATGAGCACAAGTGAAAAAAGAGAGGCATTTGTTTTTCATTTTGCTTACTTTATTTCCCCAACTAGCCATGTGCTGCGTGAGGCAAAGTCACTGAGTGCTCTCAGGCTGTGGGCAGGCTCTCTGAACAGTCATTGAGGACCCCTATATACAGGCACTGCTTCTCTCCTTTGCTTGTTTTTTAAAGATTTATTTATTTATTTATTTGAAATTCAGTTACAGGGAGAGAGAGGGAGAGACAGGGAGAGAGATCATCTATTCACTGGTTCACTTCCCAGATGGCCACAATGGCCAGAGCTGAGCTAGGCTGAAGCCAGAGCCAGGAGCTTCATCCTGGTCTCCCATGTGGGTGCAGGGGCCCAAGTACTTGGGCTATCTTTGGCTGCTTTCACAGGCTCATTAGCAGGGAGCTTGATTAAAAGTGGAGCAGGTTGGTGCCCATATCTGATGTTAGCTTCTCAGGAGCAGGCTTTACCTGCTACACCACCATGATGGCCCTTCTCTTTCTCTTTCTCTTTCTCTTTCTCTTTCTCTTTCTCTTTCTCTTTCTCTTTCTCTTTCTCTTTCTCTTTCTCTTTTCCTGTTGTTTTTTCTTTACTTGTTGACAAAACAGGGATGCCATGTTCTGTAGGTCTCTTCATTCAAGGTTGGAGTTTTAGTCCTCCTTTTCCTCAAATTTAGCTGATTCATGCCAAACTCCCTCACTGTGCTGTGACTCCCTACTCCTCGCTGGCTAAGCATCTACATTTGCCTGGAATGGGAAACTCTGAGATCATTAAAGTCAGATAGCCTCAATCTACTCAAGAAATAAGGTTAGGAGCTCAACTCAGGAAGTGTTTGACAACCAAGGTAGAAAAGTTAATATTGAAATTGTTTGAAAGCCAAGAGATTCAACCTTTTATGCTCCTCTGTTTCCTAGGGTTCCAGATCCTCAAACTCTGTGTCTATACTGTACCACAATGATCTCCTCATGAAATGTACACCTTCTACTCCCAGAAAATAAAGACCACAAAAATAACATACAGCAGACAATGTAGACTTTCATGCAACTTTTTCTAGGAGAGACAAAGGAGGGGTATAAATTGTACAAGTTATTACATCACTTTTTCTAAAATAAGACAAAGAATAATAGGCATATATAATTCTCATTGACTATAGCTGATTAAATCATACCTTCCACATAATTTGTGAATCACTTTCTCCTAATTTGTATAAACTTAGTTTAGCAATTAATTAATAATTCAGAATTTTCACAGGACATGAACTTTATACATTCTGCAGTACATATGTTAAGGTGAGAGAGTAGTAAACCTTTCTGGAAAGACAGATCTGTAGTGCATGCATTTGCTTTAATTTTATATTATGAGAATTGTAAATTTTCTCTTTCAGTTTAATCAAGTTTTTTTAAGTAATCAGTTCCTCTTTGTTGATATGTTTATGGGACCTCACCAATTTTATTGAAAGTACAACTGTACTCAGTCATTCTCTATTCATATAAATGATAAGGCTCTCCCTCAATTAATAGTTACTCATTAATATACTGAGTTGTATTTCAGAAAAAGTTGAAGGTAATATTTAGATTGTTGATTTGTAATTTATAATGGTTTATTCATATATTTTCTTTTTAAATCAATAGCTATAAAAATTGCTTACCTTCTCTCCTCATTTAAAGAAATTAATTTTCTTTTTTTAAAAGATTTATTTACTTATTTCAATCAGAGTTAAACAGAGAGAGAAGGAGAGGTAGAGAGAGCAAGGTCTTCCATCTACTGGTTCATTCCCCAGTTGAC